TTGGATGTATCTGGGGACGCTTTGTATATATATGATTTACACAGTAAGCTCGGTACGTTTTTGAATGGAAAACGGTTGGATTCGAAGCTCAAACAGTGCATAACTGTAAGTACTCAGTTGCGTTTTGGTGAAGTAGAGGGACAGATATATCCAAAAGAAACCGTGAAGGTACGCTTGTACAATTATAAATAAAAATAGAGAAAACAGTAAATTTTCTATCCCTTGTAGTCTTTAGAAAATAATTGTAATCGAGACATTTTTTTGGCGCCAACTCCTAAAGCTCCTAGGTCGTCATTGGCTAATACAAGTACACGCTTGTTTAGTTCTCCAGATGTATCTCTTCTAAGCGATTCACGAGAGGAAGCTTTTAATATTCCCGAAACGCAACACATAAAACGAGTTGAAAATTCAACTATATTAAACGCTTCCCGTAACCAATCTGATGATAGTAGAAATTTCGAAGATGAGTCCTTTATACCGGAAACACAAATGCCCAATGCGACACAGCAAGGTAGTGGAAATGAAATTGATTTATTATTAGAACCTAATTTGCAAAAATCGAGTGAAATGATTCGCATATGTACACAAGACTTCAATGAAAATTTATTTGAAAACTGCGAAGATGATATGATGTTTTCGTCTATAGTCATACCAAATATTAAACATAATCCTGTGGTTTTGACGCATTCGTTCATCAATGAAAACATGAATAAAAAAGGTAAATACTAGACTTCCCATTTTTAGCGATATTTATATTAAACTATTTGGTTAACCTTGGTATTCTTAGATGCTTCCAAGGCTATGGGCTGCGATGCGGAAATGGAGGCACTAAACTGGTCGGCGCACACATCAAAGAATTGCTCTACGGATGGGACCGCTGAATGTGCAGAGCGAGATGATGTTTGCACACCAGATCTTTTTGATATACCTGAATTGGCGCATATGAATATGCAAGTTGCCACTGCCGGAACGAATGTTAGCCAAGAAACAAAAGACAAAGCTGTGGCACAAACAACCGTGACTGCAAATAAAACGATGCCATCATCTGAAGTAACGAATATAAATTTAGAAGCAAAAAACAAAGTTGACGTACAAGAGAGTGTATCTTCAAAAAACGAGACGTCGTCAGATCATCCAGCTTTACCAATCAGCGACGGCATTACCGGAGGTGACGGATATGCGGAGGAAATTGAACTAATGCCAACACAGCTATTCGTACCTATTGCTAAGCAAAATGGACCTCGGTTGGAGGAGCATGTTACTTGCGCTGAATTATCGTTAAGCGGCAAAGAGAATATTCCACAAACAGATTTTAGCCTGGAGCAAACCCAGATTTTTGCACCCATCAAAGGTAAGTATTTGAGAGCATAAGCTGTAGGTTTTATTTGGTATACATAAATTTGAACACTAATTGGTGCAGATCGAAGATCATATAATGATTGCAATTCATCTTCTTTGGATACCAACAAAGCACCAACAACTGAACCATCTGATAGAAATATAGATTTGTTTGCCGCCACTCAATTATTTACAAGTAACTCAATGCGGCAATCTAAAGTATTAGGACAAGGAGAACTAATTGGAGCAGATCGAAGATCAGATAATAATTGCAATTCAGCTTCTTTGGATACTAACCAAGCACCAACAACTGAGCCATGTGATAGAAATATAAATTTGCTTGCCGCCACTCAAATATTTACAAGTACCTCCGTGCGGCAATCTAAAGTATTAGATCAAGGAGAACCCATGAGTGGATCAAATATATCTACGCCCCAAGAAAAGCCAAATTGTACTGTATTTCCATCAGTAAATATTGAAGGGCCAAAAAGTGTTACGAGTTCCTTCGAGGACAAAAATAACTCTTCTCGAAAGTCTGAATTTGCATCGACCAATATTATTGAAAAGAAGCGGGGTAATTTTAAAAAACCAAAACAAAGTAAAAGTACCTCAAGCAAGGGAGCAAAAGATAAACATGCCAGTATAAGTAGTTCACAATCAGAATTGGACGATCTCCAATTATGCACGCCTAAATGGATTACTGATAATTTTGATGATCTTTCAGTGGAACGAAATGTGGCTTCGGTAAAAAAACGTATGTTATTTGGGTCTGATTCAGAGGAAGAATCTGTTGAGTTAAACAAATTAACAACTAAAAAAGATTCTAAAGATTTCGATAGACTGCTATCCAATATTAAAGAAACAAAAGCTCCAGTGAAATTTATTAAATCGAAGACTTCGTTGGATAAGCAAGAAGACACTACTGAAGTGTGTACAGCACACAACCTAAAGGCAACAAATAGCGGTCGAAATATTATCAAGGTAATTGAAACCGTCCCACCCATAAAAAAAGAAGAGAATACTCCGAAAAAAGCTATTCAACCCGAAAAAGAAGGAAGTGGTACATCAAAGAACAATTTACCAGAACCAAAAAAAACAGTCCTTGAAATAGACGTTGAGTCAAGAGCCCGCGATAAAATTGGAAAAGATAGTGAGCATAAAGGCACAAAAAGGCCAAAGGTAGGTTCACTTAAGGATGCAGAAACATCCGGAACAGATGTACCTCCCAAAAGGAAGACCCGCTTACGATCAAGAGCTAGTGACCTGGAGGTTGATAAGGCAAGTAACTCGTCAGGACCTACCCAAGCAAAACTGCAGAAAGTTGAGCAAACTGATGCACCAGAAAACAATAAAAGTAAGTTCGAAAGGGTCCCAGTTCGTACTATGTATGAAATTTCAAGTTTAACTTTTTTTTTTTAAATATCTTTTAGAGCGTGTTACTCGGTCTCGCTCTAAAACAGAATCTCAAGAAAGCATTGTTTCAACGAAGTCAACAGGGTCTTCCCGGGACACAAGAAAACGGAAGAATTCGCGGAATGAGCACACAGAGTCAAAAATTAATTCTTCCGCCGATAAAAATATTACTGAAGCTTCAAAACGTACTAAAGCAAATGAGAGAAAAGAGACGCGCTCTACAACATCTGCTTCAGATCATAGTCACAAACGTAACACGATTGTGTCATCAGATGATGAACCCAAAAACTCAAAGCGTACCGTAAGCGAAAATACATAACCAGTTTTACAAGAGGCTTTTATTAAATGATCTACTCCATTAGGCTCGAACCTTACAAGTCGCTATGACCATGGTTGAACCGAAATTATTTCAAAGTTTAGTGGACAATTCGCCAGGTCAGTAATTTTCGGAACCTCTGCTGTTTTTCGTTTTTTTTTNTTCGTACCCGAAACAGCCCTGACTTTTTCTCCGGGTAAAAATTTATAAAGTATGTTCTTTCCCTAACAATCCGGACCGGATCCGGTAATTAGAGAATAAGCAAAAAGTTTGCTCTCAAAAATGGAACATAATCCAGAAATACGGGAACGCAAAAAACCACATTTCGTGTCCAGAATTTGAGAATTAGCTGATTCGCGTTGTTTTTATTTTTGGGACTTAAATGCACACATTTGGAAATTGAATAGTTGATTCACAAATTTGATTTTAAGTATATAAAGAATGAAAATACATTCGCTATTCCCTGAAAGCACCAAGTAAATCCAGGCAACATGAAAACACAAAACAGCTGATATGCACTATGACATTTTATCCATTTTTACGCGGAGAAAAAGTCCGGGCTGTTTCGGACAGGAAGAAGAACACAATTACGATCCAATACGTTCGCATTTTCGCTCTCTATTACCCATTTTGTTAAGTACGGGGATGATTTTGGGCTATTTTGGGCACCAGTGGGATCCCGCGTTGCGTACGAGAAAGAACCTAAGGAATAGTGAATAGCCTGTTGATGTATTTTCAATCTGAACGCAATTGTTTTCTGAAAATGTTTGCTTAAAGGGCAGATAAATTTTAAAACCTGCATGAGAAAACCGCAAAAAAATGCTATCTACATTAATAAAAAAAGAAGAGGAAGCTATAATAGACTCTTATAAGAAATTATAACTTCTTAAAAAAATTAAATTTTAATACTTGAAAATAAATCCCCAAAAAACCCCTAAAGATATTTTATCTCTAATTTTCTTCCTAATGGCCCAGAATAATCCTAAATCAAGGGAGAAACCAGTGTGGTTAATTCACATTTGGAAGTTAATTATAAGGAAATTTGTTCATGTTTTGACCAATAAAAGAATATCCAGTAATTTGCCAATAACCCGGGTTTTCAGTACCAGGTTAAGGCATAGATCATATAAACTGCATTTATATTCGACAGCAGGCAGATAATTGATTGGCTAATCTTAATTTAAACTGGCCAACTCGAGCGTTGAAACTAAGTTCAAACCACAGACGTGCACTGAAAAACTTGCTCTTAGTGAGAGAAATTTCAAGAAAAGTACGAAAACGCAGCCTCGGAAGTAGTTACTAGTTGTTACCCGTAAAAACTTGCAACTTCTCCCAAAATTTCGCTTCTCTCGCGCTTTGCCAAATTTTGCGCAGAAAATCGCCAAAACATGAAAACATGAAAAGCAATTGTTACGAAATACATATTACAAAATATCTCGTAAGAAGAGAGAGCTAATATATCAAAAATTGAGAGTAAACTGCCGAATGTGAGTTAACTCCCCACTGTAAAAACTGCTTAAAATATAACAATAGTGGTATTCGCGCTTCTATGTATTCGTTGTGTCCTGCGTAAGTGTAACTGGACGAGCGTGTGGTTGTTGTTGCATGTGTATTTGATGTACCGCTAGCAACAACAAATCCCACGCTCATGCAGTTACGACTACCCAACATACAACGAATACACATAAGAGCGAATTCCCCTAATGTTAATTTTTGTAGATGAAATACACATACAGCCCCATGGTGAAATTATAGTTAATAATTTATAGTTAATAATTTATAATTTCACCATCATACAGTCCTATCATGAATTTTCATTCCTTGTGAATCATGACAAGGCTGATAGTTTTTTTTGTTTTCAACCCACCGATTCTCCAGCTCGAATTCGTTGTTCTGGCTCCCTGTATCTTTCAATTTTTTCCAAATGTTCATCTTCCATATTGATTTTCTTTTTTTTATCTTTTTCCTCCGACATTGCTGCGTCTTTAGTTATTCGTTATTTCTCTGCTTTGTCCCGTACTGAAAATATGGCTTTGTAAATTTGTCTGCAGTTTCTATGGATTGCGATTTTGATAGAAATTTCGTTATATTTTGGCTGCAAACAACGCACTCGAAAATATATATATATCAAATATCGAAGGCAAATTTTGACGTCTATTTCACATAAACGACGTTTACGAACCGAAAATAAAAACAATTTTTGAAAGCTGATACTTTTTGAAATAATTGATTTGATCAGAGTTCCTTCCATGGAGCATGGTGTATAATTTCACCATACTTCCAGAGTAGTTATAAGCGCAAAATACTTACGGACAAAAAAATAGATATGAAGAGAATACATAACTGTGGCATTTTATTAAAACAACTTAAGTGAATTTAGAAGGTTTGCCTTTGAATTAAAAAAGAATAAGTTTCACTTGAAAAATTTTATATTTTTACAAGCTTCTATTAAAGGGGCAGCTTAAACTACATCTATCGCTAGTTAATCGGTAAAATATTGTTTGGGAGCCCAATAAAATATTGCTTAAAAGGCAAAAATGGGCTATCTCGGGATAAGCTGTTTTAATAAATTGCCACAGATACACAAGTATATATGAACTTTACTTACAATTTTGCAGTAGAGCCCTTGAGAACTGCTCCTTATGGGATTTTTCTGAGGTAGAATCTGAATCTGTTTGTTTTTGTGACTTATGTTTGCCACCAAAAAACTCAAATATTTACGGACCTACATATAGTTATTGCGACAGACCGAACAACGCTTCTTACTGTTCTTGGTCCAGTGGGGGAGAAAAACGTTACTGTTACTGCGTTTTCAGAGGGACGGTTACATCTAAAGTCACGAGTTATCTGAGTGCTTAGGCGTTATTAGTAGTGTGCGCTGTTAAAGCATTGCTGGGCTTAAGTATGGCATTAAGAAGGCCTTGCGGGTTTTTTGCGATTCGGAAAAGAAGGGTTAGCGGTCCATAAGATTCACCTGTGCTGGCAGGCTTCTCGAGTTTAGTTAAAAATACCACTCTCTCGAAGTTCTAAGAAAAAATGAGGATAGCCAGTGACAGGTTTGCAACTAAGTTCTTTTTATCACCAAGCATATTCTGTTGGGATCAATGGCTTTGAAAGTTTTTGACTTTCTGATTTTCAGTTTTCTTATGTCACGGTATCCAAAAGTCATCAGATATCATTTAACACTCTGCGCACTATAATATTCACTAAGGAAGATCTGTACGAGGACTGCTGGGGTTAAGCGTGTTTTCGACCCACCAGTCTATCTCAACTACAGGGTATCTTCTGATGCTTTGGCGCAACTTTCAACTCTTACAGTCTGGCTTGTTCCGAATATTTCAGACGTTGTCCCTGCACGCGAAAATGATCCACACCCCATAGTCCAACTCTTTGAGTGCTCCAAATAGTACATATCTGCAAATTTTAAAGGAAGTTGCCCAGAGATGCATAGCCAGACCGACCTAAATAGATTCATTGAAGAATCCAAATGATGATATTATATAGCTCGTGAGCCGAGAAACTATCGGAGAATAAATCTCGAGAGCGAGAATTTGTACCTTAATTTGCACTTACCTAAAAATTTGAATATAATCCTTAACTTGAAGTCGCCAATGTATTCGTAATAGGCACAGCAGTCAAAGGGGCCTTTAGATTAAGTGGTTAATACCGAATACCGGCACGTTGCGATCTTGAGCGAGCTTAAAATAGGACGGCACAACGAGATCAGGGAGGACTTTGATGTCGGAACTGATTGCACAACATCATTCGGGGACTTTCGCTTTAGGATGCTTATATTCGTACGATTTCCAACTAGGGAGGAATGGGACGGAGGCCTACGGACAGGGAATGGTGGTATTTCTTTATACACCGATAGCTCAAAGATAAGGCATTTGTCTTTCGTTAAAAGCGTAAGATTTAATTAAATACGACATTTTGGTGGCAATAAAATTCTGTAGTAGGGCGTTCTTGAAAAGTTTTCTCTGGGATAGGGCGTTTTCGAACTGGCAGCCAACTGGCAGGTCGATCTTCCACTCAGGTAACGATGTGGTGTTGCCATAGTCAATCCCGGTTAGAAGAATGTGCTTCTTTTTTGCGCTTATAGCGTGGGGGGGGCGCGGTTTGTGGGTATTCACAATAAGCCAAACTTGCCTACGAGAGGAAATATAATTTTTCTATTCATACACGCCTTCCTAACCTAATACCTAGCTAGATCGTTTGATCCCTAGCGGTTTTCTACTTATTTAAGTATACATAGCATATAAAAAAAATTGATTTCCTGCCCACAATATAAAAAAGAAAATAATAACAAAAAAATCTAAA